TGGTAGATGGGATTGTGGAAGAGAAAAGGGATGTTAGGTAAAAATGAAGGAAATCTGAATATAGTATGGACTGCATTTAATCATAATGTATCAGTATTGTCACAAATGTACCATACTAATGTAAGATGTCAATAATAGGGGAAACTGGGTGCTGAGTATACAGGAAAAATACAGAGTATACGGCAACTCTTCGTACTACCGTCTAGATTTTTCTGTAAATTTAAAACTGTTCTAAACAATAAAGTCCATTTAAACATTTTTTTAAAAAGAACATAGACTCTGGAGTCTGACTATTTGGTTAGAATCCTAACCTGCGATTTACTAGACTGTGACTTGAGGTAAGTTACTTAAATTCTCTGAGAGTCAGTTTCCCTATCTATAAAACAGAAATGGAGTACCTACCTTACAGAATTTTTGTGATAAATAAATGAGATAATCAATGAAACTGGTTAGCACAGAGTGTCTGGCAAACAGTAAGCACACAATAGACGGCAGCTATTATTATTATTACTACTATTTTAAATCTTTATTGAATATTCAAATACACATTTAATGTGATTTTACATTTAATTTGTTTTAAAGTGATTAATAATAATTTCTGTGATAACTTCCTTTCCTTTTTTGAGAGAAAGAAAATTGAATACAGTAGTCCTCCCTCACCTGTGGTTTCACTTTCCACAGTTTCAGTTACCTGTGGTCAACTGTGGTCCAAAAATATTAAATGGAAAATTCCAAAAATAAACAATTCGTAAGTTTTAAATTTCACGCCATTCTGAGTAATGTGATAAAATCTCATGCCTCCCCGCTCCTTCCCGCCTGGGACAAGAATCATCCCTTTGTCCAGCGGATCCACGCTGTAGACGCCACCTGCCCGTTAGTTACTTAGTAGCCAGCTTGGTCATCAGATAGACTGTCACGGTATCGCAGTGCTTGTGTTCAAGTCGTCCTTGTTTTACTTAACAATGGCCCCAAAGCGCAAGAGTGGTGATGCTGGCAATTCAGATATGCCAAAGAGAAGCTGTCAAGTGCTTCCTTTAAGTGAAAAGGTGCAAGTTCTCGACTTAATAAGGAAAGAAAAAAAATCATGTGCTGAGGTCGCTAAGATCTACAGTAACTTTTATAACAGTATATTGTTATAATTGTCCTGTTTTTGGTTTTGGTTATAATTGTCCTATAACAATTGTTATAATTGTCCTATGTCCTATAAATCTCTTACTGTGCCTAATTTATAAATTAAACTTTATCATAGGTCTGTATGTATAGGAAAAAACACGGTATATATAGGGTTTGGTAACTATCTGTGGTTTCAGGCATCCAATGGAGATTCTGGAACATATCCCCCACAGATAAGGAGAGAACACTGTACAACCCATTACATAGTATCTATAAAAAGGGTTTCTCAATGTATCACAAGTGTGGAGAGATTTTACAGTGTGAACCGCTCCAAACAATTTAATTTAAATATTGCTCTATGGTAATGTAATGAAATGAGTTGCCACCAGAGGCTCTATATACAAGTTATCATATTTGGAAGGTAGTATAAGATTAATAACATTTTCCAATTTGGGCTCCTACTTTCATTATAAAGCCATAAAATCATCAACATCAACCAGAGAATATATTACCTTGTGATTACACTATTTTTAATAACAATACTTGATAAAAGTGGTTTGAAGATTAATATGTAGAATGTGTTCAAAGATAAAAAGAATTAAGTGGAGTAGTGAAAGAGTATGGTAAAATAACTGCTTTATTCAGATGCTATTAAAGAAGAGAATTTGGCCTAAGCAATGGCTCCCCAACCAGGCTGTGCATCAGACTCACCCACAGGCCTTAGCCAAAAACAGAAAGATGCTGGACCCTCAACGCAGCCCTACTGAATCAACAGCTCCAGGGGTGGGGCCTGGACACTTGTATCTGTAAGACTGCACAGGTGATTCTGGTTTGTGAACACTGGTCTACCTTATCGTGTATACACTGATCGTATCATATAGGCTGCCACATGATCTACCTCTGTCGGAGCTGCTTTTGTAAATACAGCCTGATATTCACCATCATCAAGGATCATGATCAGCTGGAGACAGTTCTACCTATTACTATTACAGTTGTTTTGTATATGGAATAAATTTTGGGCCCTCTGTATCTGCAGGCTCTCAGCTGTCCTGAGCATAACCGAGACTGCCTCCTTGAGTCAGTCACCCCACACTCTCCCCTTTCTCCCTAAGGTCAAGTTTTCCCTCCCTGCGCCTTTTCTCCTCTTTCTCCTTTCACTGGGCCAGTAAAGAAACTCAGCATCTTTAACACAGGCAGTGGCCTTCAACTACCCTGAACTGGGCCAGCCTTCTCCCCTTGCTGAGCCAACAATTCACGAAGCAGCTGGTCTGTTCCAGGTCTCCTTTCCGAGCCAAGAAGTCCAAGCAGTCGGTAGGCACAGCCCCTGCACAATGAAGTAAAGCTGGAGAATAAGGGAGCAGACATTTTAGATCTCCCCTATGAGAGAACAAATACACAAAGAACAACAGCCAGACCACATGTAAAAACAGAGCTCTGACCCACACTATGCAGCAAGCAGCCCAGGAAGCCAACTCCTAGCTATAGTTACTAGTCCAGGAAGTCAAATTAGGATCTGTAGCAACTAGTCCAGGAAGCCAAAGAGTAACCCCTGTAGCAATCAGCCCCAAACAGCCAAGAATTGATTAGTAACTGACAGCTTCCCTAATTTTTGCCCCCGCTTCCAACTTAGAGCCAACTGGAAAAAGCCAAATAAGCACCCCTAAACAATCACACAGAACGCCCCACTCCTAGTTAGCCCGTCCACAGCCTCCCCACGCCAACACCTCCAGTCAGGGCAGACCCAAAGCCTTCTCTTCTGTCCACTAGAAAGCTTCTCCACTCCTCTGCCTGCCTTTGCATCTCTGTCAAACGCAAGTGATGGTGGCTGGCTCCCTGGCTTTGAATAAATAGTCTTTGTTTGTTCTCATTTGCGTGGTCTTCACTTATTTTCACAACTAGGAAAATGGGGCTGCACGTTTGAAATAGCTCACTGAATTGTTCTTCCGTAGCAGAAATGGCTGTACTTTAGGGAGGCTGTGAGATGTAGTGGTACTTGTGACCTTCAGGAAGTCACAGTCAGGAAGTGTAGAGTAGCTGTGGCTAACAGCACAGGCCCTGGATCCAGACTGCCGAGGTGCACGTTCCGGCCCTCCCACTTTCCAGTTGTGTCAATTTGGGTAAGTTACTCAACTAATTTGTACCACAGTTTCCTCACCTGTTAAAACATTGGTGACAATAATAGCACCTGCCTCATAGGGCAGTTGGAAAGGTTATATGAGACAGCTCATGTGAAGCATGAATATCTGGATTTCAATGCTGAGAGAGAGAGAGAGACAGAGACAGAGAGAGAGAAGATCCAGCAACACTGGGCCGAACTTCCTGAAAAGCAGCAGTGACGTGGGACTGAGTACTAACTGCCCCTTCTAGATGAGACACGTTTTTCCATTTTCACTCTCCACCGACCTGCCTCACTTGTTTATTGATTCACCACCCATGAAGTGGACTTAAGAGATTTTTCTCTCACTAATTTAGTAACTCGAGGAAACCAATGGGTGCACAAACTGCCCATGCCAGCATCCATTTCAAAAAGATCTGGTGTGGGAGGGATCGTATGCCTCAAACGCATACTAGAAATCTCTATGCTTTCCAGAAATCAAAGGGTCAAGTAACCTTTTCTGAGATTTTTACTTAAGGGTCATAATTTAAAATTACAGAGCTTATAATATATAAACAATGTGTATATAACTAGAAGCCCAATGCCACATTCAAGAAAGCGTGACCACATGGCTCATCAACAACAAATAAAACTTTTTCCTCAAAGGCTTTCTGCTATTCTTGGTAAGAAAAATAGCTGTTTAGAGAATAAGGCTCAGTTGTTTTGACATAATTGTGTTCATTTTCAACTAACATTAAATGTGGCATCATGGAATATCAACTCTAATTCAAAACGCCCATACTTAACAAAACAAAGATTTTCATCTGAATTCTTTCTTTTTTTTTTTTTTAAAGATTTTATTTATTTATTTTTTCCCCCCAAAGCCCCAGCAGATAGTTGTATGTCATAGCTGCACATCCTTCTAGTTGCTGTATGTGGGACTCGGCCTCAGGATGGACGGAGAAGTGGTGCCTCGGTGCGCGCCCGGGGTCCGAACCCGGGCCACCAGCATCGGAGTGTGTGCACTTAACCACCAAGCCAGGGGCCGGCCCACGTCTGAATTATTTCTGATGATCACACTCAACACTTCCAACAAGCAGTTCCTCCACGTTCCCATGACCGCATATGGTGGAGTTTGAAGCCAACTTTCCAGATTAAAATAAAAAGCCATTCTCTAGCATAAACCTTCATTCCACCAAATTGGGTAAATAAGCAAGATATATTTAATCAAGAAAACTGAAAGCCACGTTAATTACAAATAGTATTTTACTTAAGCATTTAACCTGAAATTTAATTAAGGTGGGCACTTGGGAGTGCACTGAAAACACCAAAGGATAAATATTATAAAGTTATAATAAAATGTTTTAATATGAAAATTATACTCTGGGGTAATTTCGCAATTACAAGAGATCGCATATGCCTTCTTATGTAAATATTCTGAGGCAAGCAAGGCAGGAACAGTTGATAAACATTAGATGGTTTCACGCGGGGCTCGGTGCTTCCCAAGGCTCCGCTCACTTCACCTTGCAGCCTTAGCCAGAATCTCTTTGGAAGAGAAGGGGGTGCGCTTGGGTGGGTCTCAGGGAGCCCCCCCATCCAGGAGCGCGCGGAGCGGCCCCCAGCGCGGCGCGGGCGCACGGAGCGTGCGCGGAGCCCCCCATCCAGGACCCGACGGAGCGGCGCGGGCGCACGGAGCGTGCGCGGAGCCCCCCATCCAGGAGCGCGCGGAGCGGCCCCCAGCGCGGCGCGGGCCACGGAGCGTGCGCGGAGCCCCCGCCCGGGGCGCACTCACCGAGGCCGCGCCAGCCGAGCGCGCCGTCGCAGCTGTCCAGGACGGCGCAGAGCTCGCCCAGCAGCGTGGGCGGCAGGTCGAAGAGGAGTGTGTGCGCCGAGAGCGGCCGGCGGCCCGCGGAGCCCCCCGCCGCCGCCCAGGCCATGGCTCGGCCGCCGGAGAGCAGGGGCCGGCCGAGGGGGGAGGCGAAGCCAGGCGGCTCCGCGCCTGCGAGGAGCAGTTACACAACCGCGGAAATCCTGCCTCCCCGACGGCGGCCGTCCTGGCCGACAGGCCGGGGCGGACCCACGTGACGCAGGGCGCGCTCCCCTGGATGCCCTCTGGCGGCCCCGGGCCCCCCCTTCTCCCGGCGCTCTGGCCTGACAGGCCTCCCGCTGCTCCGGGTGTGGACTTGCCTAGAGTCCGAGCAGAGGGAGAGCCGGAGAAAGACCCCGAGGACCGAACCCTGGAGGGTCTACCACCCCTGCTGTCCGGCGCGGGCGGTCTCCTGGCGGGCATGGAGGGGAGATCTGTCATCACGTCTTTATAACGTCGATTTCGTGTGTTCCTGTCAGAAAAGGGCTACGTTCATTGAGGAACACTTGGAAAACCCAGAAAAGTTGAAAGAAGAAAAGCAGCCGAAGACACACACTCTAAACGTTTGGCACATTTTTCTCCCGACTTTGGGGTTAAACAGGTAAATGTGCACGTATGAAGTGGCTATTGGAAAAGATGGGCAGCGATACAACAGAAAAGGGAGAACCAAGTAGAGTAGAATCGGGGTCCTTTTCTTCAAGAGGCCGCCACTTCTCCATGCTGTGTCTGGTGTTACTACCTTCTCTTCTCCCTAGGCTTTCCTGATGAAACACGTTAGACCACGTTTTTCTTCCTCAGAGTGCTTCACGGAATCTTCCTTCTGCTTTCAACATGGAGTTGAAGTAAGACGGACTGTTGTTTTGAAATGTCCTACCGTTTATCCTGTAATGTCCCACCGCAGGCATGATATAAATGCTACTGACAAAAAGAGGAGACGCTTCGAAAGTGGTGAGAAAAATCCCTACCTTAATGGACGAAGAGTGGACCATGGCCATCAACTGAAAAATATCCACACCTATTTGAAACCTTTCAGATTTGTACTCTTTGGGAATGGCACCCCCTAGAGATCAACAGTGATGCCACACTACCATTCAGTACCCCTGCCTGGATTTCCAAGTTCTCAGCTCAAGTATGCCAAAAAATACACTTGAAAATTGGTAAAGCCAATGCTGTTTGGGCAAAAGTTTCTATATCCCTCTGTTCAAACGGCTAAGGTGTTAACGTCAATCTTTACACGTTTAAGAAGCCCTATACCTCTCAAAGGGGCTACCTGAATAAGCTGAGCAACAGAGGCAAGATACGATTAAGTGTTTGGCAGCTATTGAGTTGCTAGAACAGGGGAGCCAAACTCGAATATGCAGAGGAGCCAGGAAATCACGGTGGATGAGTGAAGCAGTCAGCAAGGCCTGCCTTGCCAGATCTTCTGATTCACAGAGGAGCAAGAATTTTATGTGAAAGCCAGTGTTGTGAAATTTGTGTAGATTATATGAAATCTCTTGTATTTTTAGTCTTGGCAGTTATTCTGAGACCAGGCTCACTCCCTATTCCCTAAAACTGCCTTTAAGTTTTGAATTGTATATCATCAGGTTACATCGCGCACTGATCTTCACTGTTGCTCTCACCCCTTGCTCTTCCCGCTCACTTCTTCCCCCTCATTTTTAGAACTCATTTGTTGGCCTCTCTTGGCAAATCTATTGTGATTAAATCCAATTTTCAAATTTTTGGCTCTGTACCCATCACTCATGTACCTGAATGTAGCGGGGTGGGGGGTGGGGGGTGGGGCTGGGGGAGCAGGGCCAGGGGCGGCAAAAACCCTGTTAATTGGACTCAATTTAAAATCAAAGCCATGACTCTCAAGTGGGTCCTTTATCTGCCAGCCACTAACACTGTGTGCATTTAGTCCATTTACTCTTCTGGACTCCTTGACAACTGTTTTATGCGTTTTCATTTCTCCTCAACTGCCATCACCTTCCCCCCCATCCTCATGCTCAGCCGATGATCTTGAGAATATTTTTTGAGAATACTGACGTATCAGGAGCAAACTTCCACAGAGTCTTACTACCACATCGACCTGGCTCCCAGCATCTGTACCAGCATACACTTCCCAATCTTTTCCATAGATGAATTGTCTGGGCTCCTATCCAAGTCTAATCCCTTCACTAGTGCACTAGATCCCATCTCCTGTCCCCTGCTCAAAAACATCAAGGGCAGCTGTACTCGCTCTCTGCTACATCATTCGTTTCTTACTGTTCACTGGATCAATTCCAGCAGCATACAAATATATTTCTTCCACCCTAAAACAAAAAACTTTGATGCCACTTCCCCTTTCAATCATCCCATTTCTTTGCTCCTTTTTGTAGTAAAGAGTTGAATATTCTCACTGTCTCCAATTTTTTGCCTCTTATCTTCTGTTAAACCCACTCTAATTAGAGCCACCCCTTCCGCCTTCCTCCACTGAAACTGCTCTCTTCAGGGTCACCTGTGTCCACACCATTGCTGAATATAATAGTCAATTTTCAGTCCTCATCTTACTTGATGTATCAGTAGTTTTTGACACAGGTGATCACTGCCTCCTTCTTGGACACTTTCTTCATTTGTCGTCTTCATTCATTCTCTTACGTTTTTGCTTCACTGGTCACTCATCAGCTTCCTTTACTGTCCTTTCTCTTCTCCCTTAACTCTTAATGTTGGAGTGCCCCAGGACCCAGTCTGTAGTTTTTCTCGCTATCTACACTCACTCCTTTGTTGACCTCAACCAGTTTCAAGGTTTTAAATACCATCTATCTATCGAGGACTGTCAAATTTGTATGTTTAGCCCAGACCTCTCTCTTGACCTTGACTCATGTCCAAAACTGAACTCTTGATCCTGCCTCCTGAACCTGCTCTTCCCACATTCTTCCCCGTCTAGGTTACTCCATCCTTCCAGTTGCTTGACCCCAAAACTAGAGTCATCCTTGACTCCTCTATTTTTTCACAGCCCATGTTCAATCCACCAGCAAAACCTGTTGACTGTATTCAAAATATATCTAGAATCTGACATTTTTCTCTACCTGCACTACTGCCATCCCTGTTTGAGCCATCGCCATATCTTGCCTGAATTACTGTAGTTGTCTCCTAACTAAAAGTAGCTTCCACTGTTGCTTCCTACAGGCTTGTCTTAACACTGCCTCCAGATGGATCCTCTTAAATCAAATCTGATTACATCTCTCCTCTGTTCAGAAGCCAACAATGGCTTCTACTTTCAGTCAGAATAAAAGTCAAACTCTTTATAGGACCTGCGTTCTCTCTCCCCTCCCTCTCTGCCCTGTTACCCTCTCATCTTGTTTCCTTGTTCATTCTGCTTAGCCGCACTGTCTCTTCGCTTGTCCTTGAACACACCAGGCAGAATCCCACGTTAGAGCCTTTGCACTTGCTATTTCTTTGCCTGGTGTGCTTGCCCCACGTGATGAAGGTCTACCCTGACCTCCATATTTTAAATTGCAGTGGACCATGCAGTCAGATTCAGGCTGGCGTGTGACTGAAATTGGCAATAATATATGGTTTGTGGGGACCAAATCTCATTCAGATCTCTCACTGGTCCTGAATAGGAACATGCAGCAGCTCTGGCTATGTCTGGAACCCTTTTAGAACCACAGGGAGATCAATATTAGAATGAAGTGAGCCCTGGGGATGGTTGAATGAGAGAAAAAAAACAGATCCTTGATAACGTCATTAAGCAGCTCATTTGTTCTATGCCTGGAGAATGTTCTGCTTGTGGACTTATAATTATGTGACATAAATTCCCTTATTAAGTCAGTTTTTAAGCCAGGAATCTTGTTGTTTGCAGCCAAATGCATCCTAACTGATACACTGAACAGACCTTTGGTATAATACTCCCTGATTTGTTGAGGGCCTATAAAACCAGTGGGAAGGAAACTTACCTCTGTCCAAAACTGGAGTTCAAATGTATGCAGCTCTTATCTGTGGAATGTGAGATGGGCGTGGAAACTGGATCGCAGAGAGTCAAGTGGGCCCGTGAGAGAAAATAAGTGTTTATCGAGAAGGGTTCTGGCAGCGTGAAGTTCTGGATGCGCAGGAGACTGCACTGGGATTCATACAGCCCCAGACCCTGCCCCGCATGCCCCCACTCCCAGCATACGTGCTTTCCAGCAAAGAGAGGGCTGTGGCTAAACCTCAAAACGTAGACCTAGCCCTTTACCATGGAATGCTCTCCAACTCCACCCCCACCCCCCAATTTTGGATACTAGAAGAAAAAAGTGTTTCCATCCCAGCTGCAGGGAAGACAGTAATGAACTGCAAAGATTAACAAGTGGAGATGCTGGGGAAACCCTGAAGCCAGTGGTGACAATGGCACTGATACACAGTATTATCAGTGTCCTAGCCCCAGCTAAGCACAGGCATCAAAGCCTAAGAAGTCTGAAAACAGGTGAGTGAGATAACAGCTCTTAATGTATATGAGACGATTACCTTGGTGGCAGCTGTTTATCCAGCATCCCTAAGGATGAATGTTCAAAGGACACCCAGGCATGTGGGATGTAGGTTTTCTGGTTTTGGATATAATTTTCAACACAAAGATTGCTAATCTGTCCCATCTTTGAGTCTCATCCCATCCCTGAGCCTTTAGAGGGTCCTTGGTACCCTGGGGTTCAGGGACAGGGTAAAGATCAGCAATGGGGTGAGAACACTGGCAGTGCACAGTACTTGGCAATTTTAAAAATGAAAGTTGGGTGGTTTCTTAGGCTTACATTAAAATGACCTCATGAAAATAACGTGCAATAATTATTCCCCCAGTTCTCTGTGTGTCTGTATTTTTAAAGAACATTAGGCTTTCAATATCTTGTAACTCAACCTTCTCTCATTTAAGATATCAATACATTTTTCTAAAAATCTATTATTTCACATGATATGTCCTAAAATTTTAACAACTATCCTCTTAGGGTTGATGGAAAGGATTATTAGTGATTTTCTTACTTTGTGTTTTCCAAGCTTTCTAAAGTGAACATGTATTGTCTCTATGATTAGAAAACCCTCAACTGTAGAAAATAATTTCTTCCAACACTGTCATGGTTGATCCTATTTGACTATTTTCTTTTTAAATCATTTTCATGGCACTTTTCACCTTAGAGTGTGTTGCTGTAATAACTTTTGCCTAGTCACCACTGACTTTTAAAGGTCTAATTTT